AAAGAGATATAAGCAGCTTAAATACGGGACTCAGTTTTCTCTATCTCTATGTTCCTTAAGGAACCTTGAAAAATACTTTGTATGTAGTAGCTGTTCAATAAATAAATCTGATTACTGAGTTCAAATGAAGAAAGCAAAATTATGCTGTCTTAATACTGCCAAAATCATGGTCTTCCTGGGAAGTGATATATTGAGATTTTTTAAACGGAAAACCCTGAATTACAAAGTTACAAGTATATTGATGAACAATAAGTTAAGGCAATATATTGTTCCAAAATTAGTCCTTAGCAGTGACCACTACCATCTACCAGTGTCCCAGTTTTGTTGAGACTTTTTACAAAATGAAACTTCACAAACCTGCCACAAAAAAAAAAAAAAAGGAAAAACAACTTTGCTTGCTTAAGTGCATGTTTCTCTGTTATCCTTTTAGAGCACCAAATCTAATTAATGTGGATATACAGGATCTAATCTGTATTCTGGATCTATACAATGCACTGAAATCTGAGTGAGAGAAGTACTTGCTAAGTTAAAAAGAAGTCAGGTCAGAGGTCTATGCTTTGGTTGCAATAGTCTGAAATAGAAATTGGTGTGTGTTTGGGCGGGGGCCTCGTTATCAGGGCAGATTTGTAGTCAAAACCAGAATTCCCAAAAGGAGAGAGAGGAGAAAGACTATAAGTTCCTTCCATAGAGGCAGGCTGGGGGTGAGGGATGGTGGGTGGCAGGAAGGAAACGGGTGACATTGGTGGTGGGAAACTAGGGAAGGGAAGGGACAGGCATTAGAACATTGTATGACTGAAACCCAGTTACAAAGAGTTTTGTAACAGTATTTCAGGGTGATTCAATCTTTTTTTTTAAAAAAAGCAAATACAATATCCTCAGTGCTGAATTAGGCCGTAAGCCTATATTATTATGCCCCTGGTTTCAGCAAATAAATGTGAACCCAGTCCTGGTACTAGAATAGACTGAAACTGTAAGCCCTGGACTTCCATAGTTTCTGTACACTCGCTTCCTGAATCTCACTTGATGTTAAAAAAGATTTTTGTTACATTGGGGGAAGGGTTTGTTTTTTTTTTCATTAATTCAAATTAAAATTAATACTAAATTGTGTACTAGTTTGAAGGTTATTTGTTTGAAATCCAAATCAAAACTGTATTACTGTTTTGAAGCCTGATTAACAGATCAAGATATTTATTCTCCTCTTGGTTCTAACCCCCTTTTATTTTAAAATTTCTAAAAGATGATTCACTTGATTTGTTTTGTTAATTGGTACAATATTTCTCTCTCATCTCCCATATATAATATCTATGATTTATAGCAATCACATTGGCAGTAAAATAGCATTTACTAGTTGTAGTTGAATTGATGTACAAGATATATTTGCTACTAACACACTCTTTAAAGAAACTTTATATATTGTAGCTATAATACTGATTATAATGACTCCAATTAGAATAGCCAAATAATTTTTCAGTTACCATATTTTCCTGGTAATAGCTCATATATTTTCATGTATTCTTCATGAAATTTAAACCAAAGTACTCATCATTGAGCAAAATAAATTTAAATGCAATCATATTTTTATAGGAAAGAGGAAAGGGTAAATGGAGAACAGCAATGAGATTTAATTTTGCTTAAATTCTGCATTTTAATTTTTGAATGTGCGCTTCATCATGTTCTGAAATTTTTGTGTTCTGTTTTTCTATGTACAGTGACAAACATTAATCAAACTTACCATTATTATTAAGCACTGTTTAAACGCCCACATCTTAACACAACAAATCTGCCAGCTTTTCTCCACTGTGCCTTCCTTCTTAACATACAAATAAAACAGACCTGAGAGTGCCTTTTCTCCAGAATATTTAATCCTAGAATCTTCATTTACCTCCTCTATACTTAAATGAAAGACCTTATAACATAAAGCACATTAAAAGAATTAAATATTGTCTTTAGAAAGACACACAACAATTTCTAGAACAAAGTTGTATTCTATTAAGGTCAGTAATTTTTATTTTGCCTTTAATTGTGGATATTCCTGGCCAAAAATAAATAAATAAATATGATGCCATGTCTATGCTAATTGCTTTTCTAGAAAAAGACCAAAATGGTACTCCTTTTTGTTAGTATGGGTATGTTTATTATCCCTTTAATAATTTATGTCCTTGACCACTCTTTGTTTTTATTTTATTTACAGGGACTTCCCCATCAGTACTGGGGCAACTGGGGCTCAGCAGGGAATCATTGCCTGGCAATGCTGCCTGAGGGTTGGTTCTACAGCCAATTCACTTGCCTTAACAATCCAGTACTGTTGGGGTTGAGGGTGGTAGGGTCAATCAGGGTTAGCCCAGTTCAACCATGCTGATTTATGTAAGTTATTGTTTTAAACACCCTGTCTTTTTTAATGTTCCTTTCCTGGGGCTGTAATTTGCAGTAATATAACATATTAAATACTGACAGAGGTGAATTTAGAGTAGGATATTTTGACAAAATCCTGATGGTGATTTTGTAACAAGAGACCTCACTGTTCTCTGTCATTTAGTCTTCAAGGAGTGAAAAAAGTCTCTTTCAAGGTGTGAATTGTGTGTTGACCTACAGTGAGATAGTAGAAATCAATAGTACTAGGAAACTGCAAACTTTGATAACATTGAATTAAAATATTTTGATCTGAAAGTTAAAAATATCTTCCTCTTCTAATTTTTTCTCTTTCATGGTAGCAAAACAATCAATGATTCTAAAGTGCAAAGTCAGGAATAACCTGAAAATTACTAGGTGTGGAGCGATAGCACAGCGGTAGGGCATTTGCCTTGCAAGCAGCTGCCCGGCCTAGCAGGGTGAGATTCTTCCGCCCCTTTCTGAGAGCCCAGCAAGCTACCGAGAGTATCTCACCCGCACGGCAAAGCCTGGCAAGCTACCATGACATATTCAATATGCCAAACACAGTAACAACAAGTCTTAAAATGGAGACGTTACTGGGCCCGCTGGAGCAAATCGATGAACAACTGGAGCACAGTGCTATAGTGCTAAGTGTAGTCCAAAGGTATAGCGGGGCAGGGGTGGGGGATGGGAGGTAAAGGCAGGAAGGTAAACTTGCAGCGGGATATTTTGTACTGTTTCAGACTTTTAAATAAAATTGGCAGAAGAATTTTTAAAATAAAAATCAGATGTTTTGCTACCATTTTTTTTTTTGCTATTTGTTATGGTAGCCCATAACAAAGGGGTTCTATACCCTTCATTATTTCTCTCTTTGATACAAAATGTTATTGCTTTTATCATGGGCTCCATGCAATTGTGCAAGGGAGAAGTAAAAAATGGTTAAACTTCTTTACATGAAATAACTTATTAACTGTTCCAAATACAGGTTTCACTAGTTATAATTAAAGTTTCAAAGAAAAATACTTTCTTTGAATTTCAATTATCTCTCTAAATAGTATTTGTTCAAATTGAGTACTGGCTCATCCTCCAGACACTACTATGTTCTTTTAAAGTGTCATAAATTATTATCTTTTAATGATAAGACATAGAATGTAATTACAAAGATATTATCACTTAAAACTTCCATCATCATTTTGAGATATTATACATTTCAGGTAGGGTTTTTATTGTATTTTCATGTTTTCTATTAGGTTCACATTCATCACCTTTTCCAACATTAGTTGACTCATGTTTCTTTGAGCAGCACATGTACCAATATTAGTAAATTACCTGCCATAAGTGAAATGGTTTAAAGGGACTATTGAGAGACAGGTGAGTGCTAAAAAGTTTGATACCTGAAAGGTTGAGATCACAAGTTTCAAAATGACATAAAGTTGAAACAAGAATTTGCTCTTTTCTTTTTGAATGACTCAGCAGATTTATGTGCCAGATGGAAATATTACAGGTATTACAGATTTGGGCTAGAGCGATAGCACAGCGGGTAGGGCATTTGCCTTGCACGTGGCCAACCCAGGTTTGATTCCTCTGTCCCTCTTGGAGAGCCTGGCAAGCTACCGAGAGTATCTCGCCCACATGGAAGAGCAAGCCACAGGCAAGCTCCCTGTGGCATATTCGATATGCCAAAAACAGTAGCAACAAGTCTCACAATGGAGACGTTACTGGTGCTTACTCGAGCAAATCGATGAACAACAGGAGGACAGTGCTACATTACAGATTTAATATTAGAAGATTAGGAATGGGTTGGACTAGTCACCTCCAGCTTGCAGTAGTGCAGTTATATCTCTTTCAGGATAGAGAGGAAAGATGGGTTAGAGTTGGGAAATTTTTAGGATTAAGTTCAGAAAGAGTCTGGGGCAGGATTCTTTGATGGGAATAATAAGCAAATGTTCACAACTGTTGGTGGGAACTGGCAAACAATGTGGCTCCCACGTGGTGCTGAGGGTCCCATGCAGTCCAGAGCAGTCTGCTGGACCTGGGACTAGTGAACGCAGTTAGTGATTTTCGCAGAAGCTCTCAACAGTTTTACTTACATAATGGAAATAAATAAACTCAACCATTTTAAATAGTTCCACATAGTCTGAAGTCAAAAGTGGACTGAAATAAGTGTGAAATCAAAATAACTAAGTATAAGCTTCGGTAATAAAATTGAGATAAACGCTGTCTTGCCATACTTAGTAAAGGGTATCTTCTCTCTAGATATTGTCATTTTTAAATATAGCTTAATAAATGGACTCTTCAGATGATATAGCCTTCTTTGTAGCTTCTCAACCCTGAACACACATGAGAAATGTCTGGAACACGTGTCAAAATGAGATGCTGATTCATTAGACCTGGGATGTGTCCCTAGAGTATACATTTCTAATAATGTCTCATGCTCTGTTGAGACTGTTTGATGCAAACAACAGATCTTGACAATTACTGCTCTAAATCACCAAAGCACCAGGTTAGATATTTGCAGTGGCCCTAGTCGCTAGAGCTCAGTTCTGTATTTCATTCATGACCAATTGTATCTGTGCCTATCACTGTGTCTGGCAACATTGGTAGCCATAGCTGTTTGGTATTTTTTTTCATTCTGTATTCAGGGGCATGAACCAGACAAAGGCATAGAACAATAGTCACATGAGAACGAACAAGGAATTACTATGTCCCTGGATCCTATGAGATGGACACCACTAACCATATGCAGCCTCTTTATCAAGCCATTAACTGTTTTGAAGATAAAATATCATTTCCTGAGTGTTCTCTGCAAATAAGCAGGTGTGTTCTGCCTGTGACGGTGAAGAGCACTTCCTCACTCACAAAAAATTGCTTGTGAATGATTCATTTCTGACCCAAAGGAATAAAGTACCAAGTTATTGACATAATCTAAGCTCTATACTAATAGCTTTTACTTCAGAATATGATCTTAGTGCTATATAAAGATTTTTAAAGGTCACAACTAACTAAAAATGTAAATCTTTTTAAACTATAAAATGTCAAAAAGTATATGACTTGCTCCTTTAAGCATAGCATTATATTTAATATTATAATCTCCATTTTGAAGGGAAATCTTAAATTACTTGTGCATAACTACTGGCAGAACCATGACTATAGTCTCTGAAGTTTTATAAAGTCACCATGGGTCTATATCTTGCTAGATCCTTTGATTAGTTTTCTCTCTGCATCTGACCCATCAACTGACAGTCCTCTCTTTTTATTTATTTAGAAAGAATTTCAGGACATACCTGGTGGTATCAGGAGATATTCCTGGCTCATGCTCAAGGGACCTTATGCAGTACCAGGATGGAATCAGAGTCAGCTGAAGTGGCCGCGTATCAGACAGGTTGCCTTACCTCCTGTGCTCTAGCTGACCTCCTAAGTGGTCCTTTTAAAATCACTCTTTTCTCTAGACTTTCTGTCAACTGGTTTGCCTTTTGCTTCTTTTAGAAATTATTGCTCTCTCTCTCCCTCTCCTGAGGAAGAGAAACTTGAAATACTGCAATGCCCTGAAACTCTACCTCACTGTCTTCTCCACCCTTCTGTGATCTCATCTAGTTCCAGGCCCTTAATTAACAGAACCAGCTAGTGCAATGCCTCCATCTAGGAAACTAAATTCTCCATCTCTTACACTGCCAGGCGCTGCTCTCTCCCCTCATTTCTTACCACTTCTAATCTACCCAGCCTTTTTAATGTCTGCCACTCTGGTTTTTTCCTCCTCCAGCTAGCAAACTCCTCCTACCTAATGACTTTTCTTCGTTCATTGCTGCTATCTCCTTTGTCTCCTGGGTCATCTCCAACCCATGACTTTCCCAACCATATTAGCCATCACTATTCCATTGTAGTTTCTTCAGAACATTTCTTTGAAATTATATATGTAATATTTGTTTAAATATTGATCTGTATCTGGCAGGTAGGTTGAAAACTCCAAGCAGGAAGGGATTGTTTCCTTCTTTACCATAGGTTTATTTCAAAAAGAGCATAATACACATGCACGTTGAATTACTAAGTCTTTTCTTCTACAATGTGATAGTGCCTCTGAAGGAATTTATTCAAATTTTATCAGAATTGACTCAAATATGTGGATTAATGAATTGTTCCTATCTCTGACAGTTTCATACTCTTAAATCTGTCCTTCTTGAATCCTAAAGACGAATGCTTGGATTACATAACCAGAAATTTCATGTCCTTATGTTGTCCTTAATATTTTTAGTTCAGATAATAGGCTATGTTTTCAACTCAGAATAAGCCTTGAGGCTAGTATTTTCAAACTGTTAAAAACAAAATTACTTTTCATTCAGGTACGCCAGAATATTTTATAGGCTTCAACGTGAAAATTAATGAAGTTCCATACTGACCTAGAGTCTCAACTCAGATTTTCCCTTGATTATTTGCTTTGTGATATTGTTCAGCATTTTATGTTCCAGATTTAGGGTACACAAAAGAAATAATAAAAATATATTCTTGAAGCTGTTTACAAAGTTATTCTTATCCCATGTTTAAATTCTATTGCTTTAAGATTTACAAACAATGGGAATCACCTTTTGTCAGGTACTGAGAATCTGAAATGTCCTAGCTTTCTGCTTTTGGTTTAGAATTAACATGAATTTGGTTACATTTCCTACCACAACTCGTAAATTCTCTTTGAGTCTTTGATAAGCATGCAGAATAAAAGCAAGATTCATTCATCCCAATATAAACCGAGGAGCAAAATTGCCTTGTTTCCATGGCAAAGCCCTTTTGTTCATAGGTTTGTGTTTTCTCCTTTTATTTATGTGCCTCTTCTTAAAAACATTTGACTGATGAAAACTTCCACTGATTAGAATATGCTTCGTGTTCTAGAAATTCTTGAAAAACACTAAGTGTATTAGTAGCTGCTGTTGGCCACAAGAATTATTTACCCTATACCACTGCTAAGCTAGGTCATGTTATATACAGGTTTGTCAAGGTTCCTTCTAACAACGCTTATTAATAACACCCTCCCTCCCTCTCCCTCTCTCCCTCTCTCCCTCTCTCTCTCCCTCTCTGCCCAACCCTCCCTTTGGTCATTGTGGTTTGCAATACAGAAAAGTTATCAGGTTATCATGTATATCCCTTTACCTACTTTCAGCACTAATTCTTCTCCAGAGTGATTATTTACAACTATTATTGCTATGGTGGTCCCTTCTCTATCCTAATTGCCCTCCGCTCTGCCCTCCCCCACACCCCCCCAACCACACATACTTGTGGCAAGCTTCCAGCAGTGGGCCAGTCTTTCTGGCTCCTGTTTTTTCTGTCCTTAGATATTATGTTCCTTTTATATCCCACAACTAAGTGCAGTCATTCTGTTTGTCCCTGTCCTTCTGACTCATTTTACTCAGCATAATACTCCCCATGTCCATCCATTTATAAACAAATTTCATAACTTTGTTTTTCTTGGTGGTTGCATAGTATTCCATTGTGTAGATATACCACAGTTTCTTTATCCAGTTGTGTGTTCTTGGGCACTTCCGTTGTTTCCAGATTTTAAATAGTGCTGCAATGAACACAGAAGGGCTGATGGTATTTTTGCTGTGTGTTTTTGGGCCTCCAGGGTATATTCCGAGAAGTGGTATTGCTGAGTCAAAAGGGAGCTCACCTTCTAGTTTTTTGAGGAATGTCCCTAATGTTTTCCAAAAAAGGCTGGGCCAGTTGACATTCCCACCAACAATGAATGAAAGTCCCTTTCTCCCACATCCACACCAGCACTAGCTGTTCTTATTCTTTTAGATGTGTGCCAGTCTCTGCAGTATGAGATGATATTTCATTTTTGTTTTAATTTGTATCTCCCTGATAATTAGTGATGTAGAGCATTTTAGGTGCTTTTTGGTCATTTGAATTTCTTTGAGGAAGCTTCTGTTCTTTTCCCCATTTTTGATGGGGTTCGATGTTTTATCTAGTGAAGTGGGATCTTCAGCAGTAGACCCATGGCAGCATTAGAATAGGATGTGAATTCTGTTTTCACTGCAAATCTCTAGAATCAGAAATTCTGGAAGCAGCCCCCAACAATCAATGTTTCAGCAATCCCTGCAGAGGATTCCAAAGCACTCTGAAAACTCAGAGCCTCTGCCTGCCCCCACCCCTTTGTTAAGATGTATCTGCAGAAGTGATGCGAGTGGGAATTAATAAACAGCCTTAAAGGCAACAAGAGCCTTGGAAGGAGAGAGATGTTGGCATTGGCAAATGCAGCCAAAGCATGCTGGTGTATTTGAAAGCACTAATCGGGCATAGGAAATTGAGAAATGGAACTGAAAGTAGTTCTAATTCAAGTGAAGGATTTGTGAGAGCTGAACAGTTTAAAGGTAAAGAGAAAGAATCTGGTGAAAACCTAAAGATACTGAATATAAAGTAATAATCACAAAAGGATTTTCCACAGGACTGTGAAGGGATGGATTTTTGAGCCTCTACATTCGGCATTTGCCATGTGGCTATTGAGCACTTTGAAAAGAGCTTCATCTGAACAGAAACTCATCAATTTCACACTGGATTCTGAACCTTAGTATAAAAAAATTTTAACAATTTTCCATTAATAATTTTATGCTGAATACATATTGAAATACGTCACTGTCACTGTCCTCCTATTGTTCATCGATTTGCTCAAGTGGGTCCAGTAATGTCTCCATTTTGAGACTTGTTGTTACTGTGTTTGGCATATTGAATACGTGCACGGCAAAGCCTAGCAAGCTACCTGTGACGTATTCGATATGCCAAACACAGTAACAAGTCTCACAATGTTTCTGGGCCCGCTTGAGCAAATTGATGAACAACGCGAGGACAGTGGCAGTGATAGTGACATATTGAAATATCTATTTCTGGTATACTGAATTAAAGTTATTAAAATTTGGCCTTTTTTGACTTGAAAGATATTGGCTACTAGAATTCGGGAGGGGAATGTACAGGGGTTGCCCTCCCACGCAGTGGTCAGCAGGGTCCAGGAGCCACTACTAATCATACTTGACCAACTATCAAATAGTTCAAGGCTAGGGACCTGCAATGCTGGGGACCACCAGGCCACCCCTGCAGTGCTGTGTCTTGGGCTAATTTATAGATTGCCTGTCACCACTCTGTAGAAAATATAGTTATGCTTATACCTTAGTATTCATTGTGTCAGGTTAGACAATTTATTATTTCATCAGAGTTAACCATTCTTTCTTCATTAACTTCATTCTCAGGCTCCAGTTATACATATATTTTTCTGCTTATTGTAATTCAGGCTCATTGATGCTTTGTGTTTGTTTTTATAGATGTTTTTCCTTTTGTCTATCAGTGCTTTCATTTTGGATAGTTTTTACTTCTACATTTTCAGATTCATCTCTTTCTTACATGACATAAATCCCATGTAGTATGTTTTCACCTCACATATACTAGTTCTTTTTTTTTTCTAGAAAACCCACTTGGGTCTCTTTTAGACCTGTGCCTCTGTTTCATTTTTGTGCTTAGTTACTAGATATTTTGACTTGTACCTTCTTGGGTGGTGGACTTCCTTTTTTTTTTTTTTAGCTTTTTTTGGGTCACACCTAGTGATGCTCAAGGTCAGTCCTGGCTCTGCACTCAGGAATTACTTCTGGTGGTGCTCGGAGTACCATATGGGATGCGTGGATAGAACCCGGGTAAGCTGCATGCAAGAAAAATTTCCCTATCCACTGAACTACCTCTCCGGCCCCTAGACTAACTTTTTGATTCCTAGAAGTATTCTTGAACTTCAATG